TAAAAGAAAAACAAAAAAGTAAAATAATAATGATATGACAAAACAAATTAACTTCCAGTTGCCAATCCCCAACAACGGCGCCAAAAACTTTCCCATTGTTTGTGAGTATTAAATATTGGTGCGGAAATATATGTAAGTATACACAATCAAACAAGTAATACAGTGATAAGTGAGTATCGTCTCCACAGGGATTGGCAAAAATTGATAAGTTTAATCAAAGCACTTTACTATGTCACCTACGTAAATTTAGTGATGGTATGTACAAATGAGAATATTGTGGTAAAGTGAAATGGATGTTGTAGAAATAGAATGATGGTAATATGGTAGCAGATGGAGATGTCGAGGAAAAATGGATGGAAATGTTTAGGCAAATTAAATTGTATTGAGTACAAACAAATGGAAAATGCAAAGGCAAAATAAAATGTAAAGATAGGATTTGATTACTAGGACTTTAACTTCCTCACACGACAAGCTACTATAGAATGAATGACAAGAGTCACCTAGGAAAATCTAAGTCTACTTCTCAGAATGGTCTTACTTCTATACCTTATCTGCCCGACAGAGTTTACTAAGGGTGCCCTATGCTATCTCTAGTTAAGGGACTCGATAGATTGAAGATGCATTGGCAAACCGGTTGGCGCCCATGCAGTGATCCTATTGGTCCAGATAACAGGATATGTCTCGGTAATACCTTTTTGCGGTAGCATTAATATCTAACCTATCGTTCACATAAAACACCTTTTAGTCGAATGAAATCCTAGCCTTATCTCTAAGGTGGATTAGGCCTAGTTACTATCTAGAACTCCTTGCTTATGTGGTTCCTCCCTAGTTTTTCTCGAACACTAAATATGTGCTACCTATACATTCTCTCGAACACTAAGTAATCTCCTAAGGAATGACTACTCTCATAGCTCCTACAACCTTAAGGAACTAAGCTTCATAAACAAAACGGATAAAACATACAAAAACAACCATTCATTAAAGCAAATATTAAATATCCAAAATGAACTCCCACCAAATAAGATTAGTTCATGGTGGGGTTCGAATATAGCAAGCACAAAGCAAGTTAATCCGTTCCTTATAACCCAAATGATAAATAATGAAAGCAAAGAGCAAAATGAATGAGGAAAAGCCTTCGACGTGCACTGTCGGATGTTCCCTCGACCACCATGGACTTTCCCAACGAACTATTTCCTCTCGGACGCCTAGAACGCCACTCACTCTAGCTTGTCAACAGAGGAATGTCACGGCAAATAGGATTGATGGAAAAAGGAAAGATATTTTTCTCTTTGAAAATAAGGTCAAGCCGACGTATGTAAAGTCCTCTTTCCATTGTGGCTTCATCCTCTATTTATATGGGGAGAATTAACCTAGGAATTTGTGTTGAAATTCCTAGGATACCCCAAATCATGCTTCATTCACGTGAGAGTGGGCAGAGCTGGCAGTGCTCCCCCTGGGCAACTGGAAATGGTCCAGCCTAGGTGACTGGCTGAGTACCCGATAGGATCAGCAACAGCAAGTAAAGGCTCGACATGATCAGCAGCAGCAGGGCGTGTCCGGCAGGATCAGCTACAGCAGCGTTGGTCACCTCTAGGCAGGTGTCTCCTCATGTGTAGAGATCACGTGAAAATAGGGACAGTTGGCTCTAAAAATATATTCTTTCATTTTGATCGCTATCGAAATGTCAACTGGTTTGGCATTTGCATTCTGCTCATTAGTTTCCTTATGTCACGACATTTCTCTTTTGCTTTTCCTTGCTCTCAAATCCTGCACATCACCAAAAAAACGCCTTCCCCATAAAGCAGCACTGATTACAAAGTAAAATGTCGCGGAAAACGTAATTCCACCACATGCAACTATATGATCCTAAATGGGCTCTTAGGTAATCAATAACGTAAGTGAAAAAGGTCCCAAATATGAAAATTTTTACAGAGTTATCAATTATGTATATATTATTTCATTCTATTTTGATATGGGATAGATTCTTATATATGTGTATACGTATATATATCCTCTCATCCGTTATTCTTTCAGGGCCCCAGGTATCAATAATATGAATACTGATGAAACTGACTCAGAGATTGATTTTGAGCTACCCATATATCAAGGGGAGATCGAGGGTTGTGATAACGACAAGGAATGTGACTTACCTTCTGAACTGCTAAAAATAGTGGAAAGGGAAAATAAACAGATTCTGCATCAAGAAGAGACCACTAAAATTTTGAATCTAGGATCAGATAAAAATAAGAAAGAAGTAAAGATTGACACATCTCTATCTGCTGAGGGATGACAGAGTTTGATTGGATTACTTTGAGAGTATAAGGATGTGTTTGCTTGGTCGTATGAGGACATTTCGGGTTTAGATACTGAGTTGGTGGTACACAAATTGTCGATAAAGCCAGAGTGTAAACCTGTGCAACAAAATCTCAGAATAATGAGACATGGGATGCTACTAAAAATTAAAGAAGAAGTAAAGAAACAATTCGATGACGGGTTCCTGAAAGTATCCAAGTATCCTAAATGGGTGGCAAACATTGTTCCAGTACCAAAGAATGATGGGAAAGTTTGATATATGTGTTAACTACAGAGATCTCAATAAGGCGAGCCCAAAGGATAATTTTCCTTTTCTATACATAGACAGACTGGTGGATAATACTGCTAGAAATTCTCTATTTTCAATCATGGATGGGTTCTCTGGTTACAATCAAATAAAGATGTACCCTGAAGATATGGAAAAAACTATGTTTGTCACCATGTGGGACACATTTTTCTATAAGGTGATGTCGTTTGGGCTAAAGAATACAGGGGCAACTTACTAGAGAGTTATGGTAACATTGTTTCATGACATGATGCAAAAATAAATAGAAGTTATATCGATGATATGATAGTTAAGGCTAAGAAAAATGGAAGAACACGTAGAGAATTTGAGGAAACATTTTCAGAGATTGAGAAAATGTCAGTTAAAACTCAATCGAAACAAGTATACCTTCAGAGTGATGTTTAGAAAACTTTTGGGGTTGTAGTGAGAAAAAAAAGGATTGAAGTAGATCCAGACAAAGTCAAAGCTATTCAAAATTTACCACCCCCACAAACATAAAAAGAAGTTCGAGGATTCTTGGGGAAATTAAACTACATTGCTCGGTTTATCTCACAATTGACCAAGAAATATGATCCCATTTTTCACCTTCTCCGTAAAATAACCCAGGGGTGTAGAGTGATGATTCTTAAGAAGATTTTGAAGCAATTAAGTGATACTTGTCAAATACCTCAATCTTAGTGTCACCTATCTCAGAAAAACCATTAATTATCTACTTGTCAATCTTCGAGAATTCAATTGGGTGTATATTAGGGCAGCATGACCAAACCAAGAGAAAAGAGAGAGCAATTTATTACCTCAGTAATAAGTCCACCGATTGCGAGGCAAGGTACTCACCGATTGAAAATTTGTGATGTAATTTGGTTTTGACTACTCGAAGGCTTAAGCAATATATGTTGTATCACACCACTTGGTTGATCTCAAGGCTTGACCCTCTGAAATATCTTATGGATGTACCTGCTTTATCTGGAAGATTGGCTCGTTGGCAGATTTTATTGTCTGAGTTTGACATCCAATATGTGAGCCAAAAAGTAGTTAAAGGGAGTGTTATAGCAGATTTCATCGCAAGTATGGCCTCTAAAAAATATGAACTGTTGAGTTATGATTTCTCAGATGAAGATGTAATGTCTATTTCAGTTGAAGATGCATTTACTTCTACTGATAAACATTGGAATTTGAACTTTGATGGTGCTTCGAATACCTTGGGGCATGGAATTGGGGTAATTTTGGTCTCACCTAGAGGATAACACTATCCTTTCATTAGTCAACTGATTTTTGTTGCACAAACAACATGGCTGAGTATGAAGCGTGTGTTTTGGATCTTAGAGCTGTCATTGAGCGCAAGGTAAAGATACTCAAAGTATATAGAGAGATTCAGCTCTGGTAATTTATCAACTTAGAGGTGAATGGGAAACGAAAGACCTCAAGTTGGTGGGATATCGTAAATATGTCATGGAGCTTATCAAAGAATTTGAAGAAGTGATAATCCATTGCCTCCCTAGAGAAGAAAATCAAATGGTGGATGCCCTAGCCACTTTGGCAGCAGCCTTGAAAGTAAATGATCATTCAAATATGATGCCCATTGAGATGCAAGCTTATGAGTATCCATCCCAATTCTATATCATAGAAGAGAAAGAGGATGGAAATCCCTGGTATTATGATATCTTGTAATACATCATATATCAAAGTTATCCTGAGCAAGCAACCGAGAATGACAAAAGAACTATTAGAAGGATGGATGTAGGGTATGTGATCGATGGTGATATCTTATACAAGAAAAGTCCTGATCAGGTTCTATTGAGGTATATGGATGCCAAAGAAACTAAAACAATCATTTAAGAAGTACATGATGGAGTGTGTGATACCCATGCCAATGGACATACAATGGCTAGACAAATAATGATATTTTGGTATTATTGGTTAACCATGGAAACTGATTGTATCAATTATGCCATAAAATGTCACAAGTGCCATATTTATGGAGACAATATACATACTCCTCATCATCCATTGCACGTGATGGCAGCTCTGTGGTTGTTCTCTATGTGGGGCATGGATGTTATTGGATAACTTTTTCTCAAGGCTTCAAATGGTCATCGTTTCATCTTGGTGGCAATAAACTACTTCACCAAATGGGTAGAAGCAACTTTCTATGCAAATGTCACTCAGTCAACAGTCTGCAAGTTCTTAAAGAAAGAAATCATTTGTGGATATGGTTTAACAGAAAGAATCATCTCTGAAAAATCCTTGAACTTAAACAATAAGATGATCGAATCAGTATGTAAGCAGTTCAAGAAAAAGCATCATAATTCCACCGCTTATCGCTCGAAGATGAATGGGGCAGCAGAGGTAGCCAATAAGAACATCAAGAGGCTTATAGAGAAAATGACTGAGACTTATAAAGACTAGTATAAGAAGTTACGGTTTGCGTTTTTTGCCTATCGAACTTTGGTAAGGACATCAACTGTGGCAACCCCATTTTGTTTAGCCTATGGAAAGGAAGTTGTGTTACCTATTGAGGTATAAATTTCATCACTTCGAGTATTATCAGAGGTTAAACTAGATGAATTAGAATGGGTACAAGCCAAGTATGACTAGCTAATTTGATTAAGGAGAAAATATTAAAAGCTATCTATCATGGTCAGATTTATCAGAAACGTATAATGAGAGCCCATGATAAGAAGGTTCACCCATGAGAGTTTCATGAAAGAGATATGGTACTTAAAAAGATTTTTTCAATTCAAAAATACTTTAGAGGTAAATGGATTCCAAATTAGAAGGGACCTTATGTTGTAAAGAAAGCCTTTTCTAGAGTAGCTTTGATCCTCACCGAGATGGATAAACCAGAGTCTAACCCTGTGAACTCTGACGCTGTCAAGAAATACTTCGCCTGAAAAAAGAAAATGAAAAAAGAAATGAAAAATGAAAAAAAAAGAAAGAAAAAAATAAAATAAAATAAAATAAAATAAAAGGGGGTTCAAGATGAAAATCTGTAAAGGACATCTTAAAACCAAATGAGGTCTCAAGTTGAAAACCCACAAAGCTTGAATTTTTATTCAAATTCAGGATTCGTTCATAGTAGAGGTTCTGAATTGATTTTGAAGTTGAAAGAACTCTTGATTTGAGCGGTAACATCAAATTGTGATCAAGGTTGGGACTAGAGATTGAAAAGTGCTTGAATAACCAGAAAAAAAATAGAGAGCACATGAGATTCAATACTGGTTTATAGCATCCAATATTTGGAGATTTGGTATTATAGTGGAAACTTCACACCCTTGTGCGTTGTTACAATTCTCAAAATCCCTTTAACATAAGCTACACTTGAGTTACTCTGTGGCATGCCAGTTCAAAAGCATTCGTACTATTGATATCTGAGGGCACCTACTTTATTTGCTTTTACTTTTTCCAATTAAAAATTTGTCATGTATTTACCCAAAAAAACTCTTTTCGTTTATATAAATAAAAAGAGGTATTTTTCTTGTTAACACCATGTTGCAAGCATCATAATTTGAAAATAAAAACATGTAGATTAACTTGGGAAACATGAGATCATTTTGTATTATTGTACAAAAAGTTTTGGAAAAGTGCAGGTGTTCCGAAGCTGAAAATGGTTTTAGCATGAGGCTTAGATGATGATGGGCCACAGAAAATTAAAACCTTGAAAGTTCAACAAGTTAGGATAATCCAAGATGTGTGTTGTTGATCAATTATCTGGTCATGAATATTGTATAGGTTCAATAATGAAGAGAATCATGGTCATGTCCAACCAAAGAGTATCTGGTCAGGATTGCCAGTTGGGGTGAACTGATAGTGATTTTCGTGCCCAAGATTTGATTGAATTACAAGGCGGTCGAAAAAAGAGAGTTCTCATTTGAACAAGAAAATACACTAAAATTGCATTATTGCATACATTTTAAGCATAAACTTGATCATGACATTCATAAAATCATGATGACTCACAAGTATTCCAAAAGAAATCATAAACAGGATCATAACATTCATAAAATACAAGATAAAAGTAACCAATTCAAAGTCCCAAAAAGGGAAAGGTTCAACTGACACTCCAGACGAGGTAGATTTCCATATTTGGTGGTTGCAAGACAAATTTCCACAAGAAAAATCGATTTTCAAAGATTATCTTGAATTCCAAAATTTTCAGGTATGATGTTTTCAAATTCCCATACATATACTAACAAATGGTAATGTTTAATTTACGTATTTGATATTCTTGAAGACAAGAGAAGAAAATTGAATTCAATTCAATCTTCCCTAAAAAATAGTGGAATGAATCAACGTTTCCATATCTGATCTACCCTAAAAAGCAGTGGAGCATATCTCCTTTTTCCAGATTTGATCTTCCCTGAGGAGTAGTGGAACAAGTCTGCCTCGATTCAATATCCCCTAAAAACCAATAGAATGAATCAATATTTCCAGATATGATATACCCTAAAGAGTAGCGGAGCAGATCCCTTTTTCATATTTGATCTTCCATGAGGAATAGTGGAACAAATCTGCCTCGATTCAATATTCCTTGAAAAGTAGTGGAATGAATCAACGTTTCCAGATTTAATCTACCCTGAAGAGTAATAGAGCATATCCCTTTTTCATATTTGATCTTCCCTGAGAATAACTGGAACAAGTATGCCTCTATTCAATCTTCCATGAATAACAGTGGAATAAATCAACATTTCCAGATATAATCTACCCTGAAGAGCAGCGGAGTAGATCCCCTTTTTCCATATTTGATTTTCCTTGAGGAGCAGTGGAACAAATTTACTTCGATTCAATCTTCTCTGAAGAGTAGTGGAATGAATCAACATTTTCAGATATGATCTACCCTGAAGAACAATGGAGTAGATCCCTTTTCATATTTCAATTTCAAAAATCTCTCTTGAGATATTGTTCAGTTCCAATATCACTTGAGACAATATCAGATTTTCAAGCACATATTTGACCAGATAAAAATGTATTGTCTCTTCGTCTTTGCCTTATTCTTGTTAACACAAGAATGGGCAAAGAGGGGCATTTGTCAACACTCATTTTCACCCGAATATCTCTTTAACATTATTATAATTATTATTTTATTATTTTTTATTTTACAAACCCAAAACACCTAGGCCCAAACAAAAACCCAGACATGGCCCAAACAGATCCAAACTCGGGCCCAATTACAAAACCTTAACCTAATCTGACCTAACCCTAAAATAAGGGAGGACTTTTCAGCTACCGCTGCCATCATCAAGGATGAGCCACAACCACCTACCGAATCTACCCCACGTCCAGCCGCACCAATCGTCGGAGCCACCAAGCCGACCTGAATCAGATCTTAACAAAATATGAGGTATTTAATGCCTTACTGACCGAGCAAGGCAACCATACCTCCCTACCACAAAGATCCATCATCAACAACCACCAACAGTTTATGTCATATTTTTTTATTTTGAAAAGATTTGTAAAAGTTGGGTATAAAACCTGAATCAGTTGTAAGAAAAAATGATCCTCTTTTCTTTTTTCGAAGTAATACAAAGAAAAGTTTAAAGTAATTTTTTTCTTCTTTTTTTTAGTTTCGAAATAATAAAAAATACATATTTACAAAAAAAAATAAGAGGAAGAGGTTAAGTAGTTACCTGGTAGGGAAGATGAACCGAAAGGTCGGTTCATTTTCCATGGTGATCAGAGTGAGTGGAAAGTCAAAGCATTGAGCCTTTTTTTTTGTGTTTAGGAGCAGTTTTCGATGAGTTTTATCCCTTAATCGGGGTCTAGGGTAGTATATATGGAAGTATAGGGTTTTTTGGGTTGGTTTAAGAGTTCCGACCGTCGTGTGTGGCGGCCGGAGCGGTGGCGTGGAAGGCTGGAGGGTGGCTGACTGAAATAGATAAAAGAAAGGGGAGAGAGTTTTTAAGATTTTTTTGGGGATTTCGGTGAAAATGAAAAAAAAAATAGAAAAGTAACTTTTATAGGGAAAGTTAGTGCTTAATTGTTGTCTAGGTTTAGCCTTTTTTGTATTTTGGTCACCTACAATGACCAAAATTGGTATTTACCCTTTTTTAAATGTGTTATATATTGATTTGGTTAATTTCTATTTAGTCCCTCTAAGTTTAGCATATTTTTACATTTTGGTCATCTACAAGGACCAAAATTGTTATTTACCCTTTTTTCTAGAATGTTATGTGTTTATTGGAATATTTGTTGTTTAGTCCCCCTTATTTAAGCGTATTTTTGCATTTTAGTCATGTGTAGTGATTATTTAATTTAATTTAATTTTTCTAGATTGATTTAGTACTTTATGCATTTTTAATAAAAAGTATGCTTTAGGCTTGTAAAAAAAATAATTATTAATTAGTCCCTATAGTTTCAACATGTTTTATATTTTGGTCACTGATCTGTTCTTTGATTTAATTTAATGTAATCATGTATTTTTTTATTTTAATTTGGTCACCTTGAGTTATTAACTTTTATTTATTTTAATTTATAGCCTAAAATTTTAAATATGTTCATTTTGGTCCTAAATATATGGGTTTATTACATTGTTGGTGCTTGTAATGTATGATTTCTGTATTATATGTTATGTTATTTATTTGATTTGCTATTTTGACACTAAAATTTCCAATTTTATTATTTAGTCTTATATTTATATAATATGAATAATAAGTGTTTTGAATGTTGTCCATATATATATTGATATCATGGAATAAATATTTGTGTAATTTGTTGCATATAGGTGTAGGATCTAATTTAAATTAAATTGCATGAAAAATATATGAAGCCTCATAACCATTACTTGACTCGATTCAACTAATTTGACTAAAGGATTATCCGTTTATTTTGAGATTAAGGAAAGTGATTGTCTTAAAGAATAAGATGTCACTTTCAATATTCTTAAAATAAACGGGTATCCTACCTAGTGAAACTAATAAAATTGATTACATTAAAATTTGGGGATTGAGGAAAAGATCGTGTTCTTTTAATTAAATTCACTGAGAAAAGAATGTTATATCGAATCTAAGGTTTCGTCTTGATGCATTTAAATAATTGAACATTTTTATTCTCATTAATGGTTAGTAAGATAATTAATTAACCATATTTGTTTGGTGTAAATATTTAACTTTTGCTTTATTTTTGTTTATATTTTAATATGATTTCAAAAATGAATAACACTCGAATTAATAATGAACTTTATGATGGAATTGTAATATTTCTTTATTTCGATTGGAGTATGAATCGATTGCTTTAAGGCATGAGAGGTCGATTCTTCTCGATAGGAAATAATTAAATATTATTTTGTTTCGTCCAAAAATTCAAGGAACATTATTTGGGATATTAAATTAAATTAAATTCGAACTCATAAATTGCATTGCAAAGACAACTAATTAATCGAATAGGCACTAATTTAGGGCGTTGTGGGGTTCTGATC